TACACCTTTCCAGTATTCCTTATCTGTCATAGCTAATACTTTGATTGGTGTAGTTCGTAATCTTGTCAAATAGCTGAATTCTTGATGCTTCGCTAGGGCTATCAAGGGTGTTTTTATCGTGACACCATCACTAAATGGATTGCCAATCAAGGCTCAGAGAGACTCCATTCACCCTCCGCAGGTTTTGAATTCAGAGTTTTCCTTCTCCTAGACCAGTTGCCATCCAAGGCTATAGAACCCAGTCTGTCCTGCTATTTACCCATAGCTGGAGGGAGAAGAAGAGGATTCACACCTTTCCCAAGGGTATGAGTATGTAAGTGAATGTAATGGATTCGACTGGAATTCGAACTCGGCTCTCCGATTCCTCAATTCGAGCCGCTATCCATTATGGCATTATTAAATAGCCCATTGAGGTTGATATACCGTAAAACAAGCCAAACCAAACTAAACCAAACTATGCTTAAGATGCTCTATCATGCGATATACAGCACTATCGAAAATGCCGTAACCTGTCTTTTGGTCCTCAAAAATCAGACAAACAACTGAAAAAAGCATCCTGCTAATCAATTTCAATTTAGGGATAAAATTAACAAAAGTCATTAAAGTTCTGCAGGCCAGTGTATATTATTTTGTCGACCACTGGTTTAAAACATAAATCGATTTTATTTAAAAGCCGTCGTCTAAAGTTCCGGGGGTGATCCACCGATGGGCGAATGATCCGAAATCAGAGATGTCCCAGTCTTGTGTTTTTGTTCGAACCATTGTACTAGATCCAAAGTGTCCATTATTTTCCGTCGAGGCTCGAAGTAGGTGAGGGTAATTCCTTTTTTCGAGACAACATGTGACAATTTGTTTTTGAAAGCTGATTTGAATTCAGAGTTTTCCTTCTAGGAGATCAGGTTCTGACACCAAAAAGCTTGTCCGTGAATATGAAAGGAAACTTGTCTAAATTATTCATACCTCTATCTGACGTATATCTTAATCTCTCTCTCTCTCTCTCTCTATATATATATATATATATATATATATATATATATATATATGGAGAGAGAAAAAGAAGACAAGTTGCTTAATAAAACAAAACAAAGGCAAGCAAAAAAGTTCGCACAGCGAGAAATCAAACGGAGATCGGATTTTTACTAATAATTGCATCTACATAAAGGATTCTCCCCAGCCTGAAGAACTACTGTTGGTGAGTTTCTCTTTTTATTTCTCGCATCCGCTGATGAAGGACACAGACGTGTCCGAAAATTCCGAACTTGAAACCTTAATCTCCGTGCTTCATTTCTGTCATGTGGTTAATAATTAATAAATGTTTTTCGTACTGATCACATCGGTACCCTTTCGTTTACTTTTTTTTATTAACCAACTTATCTACTCTATTTTATAAACTATATGAAGCACACGTGGACTCTTTCTTCTAATTATATTATATATATATATATATATATATATATATATATATATATATATATATTCTTTAATCTCTTCTTTTTAGCAAGGGCTATAATTTTATGACGGAGGTATGTATTTTTAATTCACTGGCAACTGTCTTCCAAGATGGCTGCCCATTTTTGACCGATATCAACGGAAAGCTAAAATGTGACCATACATTTCCGCTGCAGTTTATAGGGGGGTGATATCATATATATCAATTAAGTAGTAGTAGCTGAATTCTTGGAAAGGTGTTTTCTCAAAATCATGTCCTGGGTCATTGTTCGTAGTGTCTTAATTTCTTGCACGTTGATTCGTCAGGCAATCTATGTGTCATCCTATTTGTCAGTCCATCGGCTTATTATGACCTATGATGAAATTCTACTGAAAGTATAAATCTTTCGGGTTTTTTTTTTTGTTGTTTTGGAGAGATCGTTTAACAATTTCTAGAACAGAAAATGACGAAACCGAATATCATCACTTAATCATCAGTTAAATTCCAGAAATAACGAAGCTTTTCTTGTAGAAAGAATAGCGTATTTTGGCGCAACGAAATGTTAGTTCCATTTCAACCTTTGAAGGAAATTAATTCTTTTTTTTTTTTTAACCCAAATCCTTCGAAAATTAACTGTAACCTTTGAATAAATAGGAATTTTAATTTTTATCACTTTCAGATAGTGAAACTGGGACTTTTATGGCTGGAAGACCTTTATAAATAAAAAGATAGTGCCTAGTTCGTGAGGATCTGTCTCCATTGCATTTAACGAGGCGATGTCAAATGTATATTTAATTTATTTTTTATTTTTTTTACAAAAATGTATTGCTGGGAATTTTTTTAAATTTTTATTCTTATATTTCAAAAATGTATTGTTGGAAATTTTATTTAATTTATTTTTTTTTTTTTACAAAAATGTATTGCAGGCAATCTATTTAAATTGTTTTTTTTTTTTACAAAAATGTATTGCTGGAAATTTTTTTAATTTTAATTTTTTTTTTACAAAAATATATTGCTGGAATTTTTTATTTTTATTTTAATTATTTTTTGCAAAAATGTATTGCTGGAAATTTTTTTAATTTTAATTATTTTTTATTTTTTTATTTTTATTTTTACAAAAATGTATTGCTGGATTTTTTTTTTAATTTTAATTATTATTTTTTTTTTTTTGCAAAAATGTATTGCTGGAAACTTTTTTAATTTTAATTTTTTTTTTACAAAATTATTATTTTTTTTTTTTTTTTGCAAAAATGTATTCCTGGAAAGATTTTTAATTTTAATTTTTTTTTTACAAAAATATATTGCAGGAATTTTTTTTTACTATGAAAATGTATTGATGGTATTTTTACTATAAGTACTTTCATAGTGTGTTAACCCTTGTTTGGGGATTAACTATTTGCCCATAGCTGAAACCCTAACAAATGCTTACGACCCCCGCTGATTGTGGACCTGGGAACTATAGCAATTAAGAGGTGATTCAAAGCTCCTCAGATCCTCCCGATAAGAGGCCTTCCTGCCGGGTGTAGTTTATCGTCATCCCCAGGACTGGAAGGATACGTGAAAACATTTATCTACTGTGTATATTCGTGTAACGATATGGGGGTGCCGGTTAAATAATACGAGACTTGAATCTTCATTACTTAACATTTTATTAACTCCAATATTTCGTCAGTTACTCTCAGACTATGGTCCTCTTCGCCATCCTCCCGGTTCGACATGCGGATCATACATTCTCTGTGTGAGCTATGGGAGAACATGGCGATAGGCAACTTTATCTTCTCCTATTGGGGAGTCAAAAAATAATTAACAAATGAAATTTCACAGAGTTCAGTCGGAGACAGGTACCTCCACGAAATCGCTAAAAAAAGAGCATAGCTTGATGAAAAAAAGCGATTTCGTGGAGGTACCTAATCCTCTTCTTCTCCCTCCAGCTATGGGTAAATAGCAGGACAGACTGGGTTCTATAGCCTTTGGTCTAGGAGAAGGACAACTCTGAATTCAAACCCGGAGTGGATCCCCTAAGGCGGATGGACGGCACTTTGTGCTACCTTCCGGCAAACTCCTGCAGCCGCGCTGGTACCACAACTGCATTGGTTTATCGTCTCCTTTGGACTCTGCCAGCAAGGCCGAGAGGGGGAACTAGACGTCCGGGCAGCCCTAGTTCTCCATATATCCCGCGGGCAGCTCCTTATATGCCGACGACGACGACATATGTAGGATAGATTCTAAGACTGATCTTAAGCTAAGTCCTAAGAAAAAGGAAAATTTCGTTACAAACAAAAAAAAGAATGTTTAGTTTAAGTGCTGTTCAAGGATCAGTCAATTAAGTGCCACGCCCGATACATGCTTGGATGATTCTATCTCTTTCGATTCACGGACTGACAAGGCAGCGTCCTGGCTATGATGATAAACTACATCTGGCAGCAAGGTCTCTGATCAGGAGGTTTTGAGGAGCGTAGAACCCCTTCTTAATTGCTGTTGTTTCCAAGTTCACCCTGACTCGTGGTGGTACACCTGTTAGGGTCCTAGCTTTGGGAAAATAGTTAACTCCAAAACAGGGGTCAAAACACTATGAAAGTATAAAAATAAATTTTTATAGTAAAATTACCAGAAAAAATTATCACCAGCAATAGTGTTTTGGAAAAAAAATAAATATTACATTTGACTCTCGACAAAAAAAAAACCCTTGTCGGCATTAAATAACCCATTGAGATTGATAGGCCGTAAAACAAAATAAACCAAACTAAACCGATTTCTTATAAATATATTTTCTATTCATACGAACCTATGCTAAGAATCTTGTCGGCATTAAATAACCTATTGAGGTTGATAGGCCGTAAAACAAAATAAACCAAACTAAACCGATTTCTTATAAATATATTTCCTATTCATACGAACCTAAGCTAAAAATCTTGTCGGCATTAAATAACCTGAGGTTGATAGGCCGTAAAACAAAATAAACCAAATTAAACCGATTTCTTATAAATATATTTTCTATTCATACTATGCTAAAAATATTGTCAGCGTTAAATATTCCATTGGGATTATGCCATAAAATAAACTTAACTGACTAGGCAAAAATTTTTTTCGCAGTAATTTGTCGTTTCTTTCCGCAGTAGACAGGTTGCCAACCAAGACAATAGGACCCAGTCTCTCCTGCTATCTAAGCCATAGCTGTCGGACGAAGAAATTGGATTCATACCTTTCTTCGTGGTATTTTTTAGTATAACGGACGGGAATTCGAACTTGCATCTACCGTTTATCCCATCCCGATCCGTTATCGATTATAGCAGAAACGCACATCCTATTTATTTAAAGATAAACCGTGTCTAAAACTAACAAATAGTTACTAACCAACAACAACCATCATTACGACATCCAATGACTGTTTAAATCACTCTTCTCATTTCTTATCTTCCATTATCACTACTTATTTTTATATCTACTAGTATGTATGTGTGTGTGTTTACTGAACGTAATTCTTCGGCGTTGGCCTTTCTCTTGTTACTTACGACTAATTCAGTCTATTTACACATTATTCTATAAACACTTGCTTTTTGCCCTCTTTCAGTTTCACATTTCTTCCTCCCTCACCCCCCAACGCTATAATTTTCTCTTATTACCGTCTCGCCTCTCTTTTCCAGATGACAAGATAGATTACTTTTATACAATTAGATCCATTCATTCATACATAAGCTCAATCCATTTAGTTAGAGCCTCCCACCTTCCCGCTTTTTTTTTTCTCTCTCGCTTTTTCTGCCTACAACTCCAACAGCTAAAAAGCCCACTTCCATTCGTTTGAGTTTGAAAAATGCTCAAGGGAGAAAAAGTCATTAAAGGGTTTGCCATCTGATGTCGCTAATGTGCAAAATTTGGGCACTGACGGCTTTAATGGCGGCGGTATTTCCTCCTTTTTATTGATTTCTCGGAATTTTGTTTATCGTATGCTATCATTAAAGCAAAACTAACTTTGTTGAGTTGTGCGTAGCGATAAAAAAATGTTAGGTAGAATAGGAAAGGATCTTTGTAATCGCATCTCTGATTGGCTGCCCTTAGCAAGATGTTCCCCCTTTCTCACGTTCATCTTTTCTTTTTTTTTCTATCTCCCCCTCTTCCTTTCTCCTTTTTTCTTTCTCTTTTTTGTTCTTTACCTTTTCTCATCTTTCTCGATAAGCACTTTTTCTCCGCCATTTTTTAATTTCTTTCTTTTCCTTTTTCTCATCTTTCGCTCACTGCTCTTTTTCTCCTCGCTCTTATATCTTTCTCTTCCCTTTTCTTTCTTCTTATGCTCTCTTTCCCCTCTTTCTCTTTCTCTTTCACTTTCCCTTTCTTCATCTTTCTCGATATGCATTTTTTCTCCGCCATTTTTTATCTCCCTCCTTTTTTTCCTTTTTCTCATCTTTCGCTCTCTGTTCTTTCCCTCCTCATCTTCTCTTTTCTCCTCCCTTTTCTTTCGTCTTATTCTCTCTCCCCTCTCTTTCTTTTTCTTTCTCTCTCCCTTTATTCATCTTTATCTATATATTCTCTTTCTCCTTCTCTTCTATTTTAACTCTCCTCTTTTTCCCCTTTTTCTCATGTTTCGTTCACCTCTCTCTATTTCTCCTCTTTTATCTCTTTTCTCTTTCTCTATCATTTTCTTTTCTCTTATTCTCTCTCCTCTTTTCTACTTCCTTTACCTTTCCTCTCTCTTTCTTTTCTCTCAACTTTCTCTCCTCTATCTTTCCTTTTCCCTTTCCTTTTCTCACTATTGTTTCCCTCTCTCTTTATTTTCCTTCTCTTTTTATTTCCTTCTCTCTTTGTTTCCTCTTTCTTTCTAATGTTTCTCTCTCTACTTACTTTCTAAACTTTCTCCCTCCTCTCGTCTCTCTTTCTTTCTCTTTTCACCATTGTCCTCCATTCTTTATTAAGACAATTACATGAAACTGGAATTCCTTTTATAATTTAAAAGTCTGTCTCAATTGTTAATCAGGTTTGTTTTGTCCTATATACACTGGTAAGGCATGTATAAACTATTGTTTGTATTTGTATTTTTAAGTATGGTTGTCAGCAAAAGGGACAACTCAAAATGTGAACTACTTATTGGAAATGTAACTGTCTGGCTTCTATTGTTACAGATGACGGCAAACGTAACAGAAATCCGAAAGGAGGATGCTATTCAGAAACGGTTAAGGCATTATGGGATTGAAAATGTCGTTATAAACAAAGAAATGAGTGATGGACTCATATATAATAATATAATACTAGTTTTAACCCGTGAAAATGTTACGGTTTTCCTATTTTGATATTCTGATGAATTTGAATTCTTAAGTTAATGATTGAGTAAAGCTCATGGCGACTTCTGCAACAATAAAATATCCGTAGAAATTTCCCTATCGTGTCATTAAATATTTGAGCTTAACAAATTATTGCAATAACAAATATGAATGCTGATCATTATTTTAAGAAGTAAGGGGATACAAATGAAAAATAAATCAAATTAACAACTTTTTCCATCTCACTGAAATAGTCATTAAACACTTCTTTCTTTCTTTCTTTCTTTCTTTCACTGACACCATAAATTATCTTTTCCCCTCATTCCACTCGATGAAAACAGAATAATCCGTTATTGCTGAAGTATTGGCAAGAGACGTTAAATACTTCGTTTTTCTTTCTTTCTTTCTTTCTTTCTTTCTTTCTTTCTTTCTTTCTTTGACACCATGAATTATCTTTTCCCCTCATTCCACTCGATGAAAACAGAATAATCCATTATTGCTGAAGTATTAGCAAAAGACGTTAAACACTTCGTTTTTTTTTTTTCTTTCTTTCTTTCTTTCTTTCTTTCTTTCTTTCTTTCTTTCTTTCACTGAAACCAAGTAGTCTTTTTTCCACGTGAACGAAACAGAATTATTTCTGAAGTATTGGCAAGAGACGTTAAACATTTTCTTTCTTTCTTTCTTTTTCTCACTTGAACCAAGTAGTGTCTTTCCCTCTCTTGCTACGTGATCAAAACGAAACAGTCCATTTTTTATAAGGTGTTGACAAGACGTAAGGCTCGTATGAACTAGCGAAGTGAAGGGCAAGTACATTTATAATATGAGGAAGATGAAGAAAAATAGACTTCTCAAGTTCACTCTTATCGCTCTTTTAGTGGCAGTTTCTATTGTGATGTCCTCCCTCTAATGAGTCTATTGTGGACTCTTCCACTTACTATAAAATTAGTAGGAGAGTAAGCCTCGTCGTTCTTATCTACAGCTTGATAGACAAAATCGGTAATAATTGCTTTGGCAGTTGACCTGAAAGAAAACAATGCAATTCAGAGCCTCTAGTATTTTGCCAAAAAGTGGTAAAAGACTAATAGAATGATAATTCGAGGAATCAGAAGATTCACCAGAGTTCTTAAAGACAGGAACTACGGAAGATGATTTCCAACAAGCTGAAAAGTAAGAAGCAACAAGACGTTTGTTGTAGAGTTTGTAGAGAAGAGGAGTCAGTTGAAGAGCCCATTTCATTCGAACAAATGTCTTGTGGGGATCTAGCTTGGAGTCTTGAAGAAATATGTTGAAAAAACCAGGAAAATGAATTCAGTAAATAAAAAAATATAGAAAGAAGTGTAAGACAAGGATGTGTCTTCTCACCGGACTTATTCAACCGATACAATGAGGTGATTCTGAGGGAATTAGAAGGATTCATTATTGACGGGCAATATAAGATATGCAGATGACATAGTGTTGATAGCAGGCACAGAAAGGAATGTATAGGAACTCCTAGGGAAAGCATTGAAGGAAAGCGAGAAGAAAGGACTAAACATCATTTTGTCGGAATGCATGGTTGTTAGCAAAAGGGGCAGTTCAACATGCAAATTGGAGATAACAAAATCAAGTACGATAGTTTAACTATTTTGGAATTGGTTTAACAGAGAACGGAAAGTGAGACACTAAAATCCGAAGCCGTATTGGGATAGGGAAAAATGCTTTCCAAAAGCTAAGCAATGTATTAGGAAACAAAAAATATTCTTAGAAACTGAACTGAACTTTTTACGTAATATCAGTCCTCCTATATCACAGTGAATGCTGGACAATCTCCTCGCAGATAAAGAAGAGACTTAAAGCAACAAAAATTTGGTTCTACGGAAGGGCAGTAGGACAATTGCCTGACGATCTTATAAGAATGGGTGGCAGGACGGAGAGCGCGAGGGATGGTAAAACGAGAAATCCAAGAGTGAGAAAAGTTTGAAAGTTGCCGTAAACCATAATCACCCAGGTCCTCAATGGACATGGCACACAGAAAAATATAAAGTAAATATAAAATGGGTAAAATAACTTCTGGTACAATATTCCATACTCGTTTCAAACCACAACTTCGATCTAAAGAAGGCCACAATTAGTGAAAGAGAAATGGCCACATCTATTAAAAGAGAAAGTAACTTAATTAGACGGAAAGTTCTTGAGAGTGTTGCTATTGAATCTTACCAAAATATGAATTTGCGCACAAGATTTTTTTAAAAATGTCTCCCTTCCTAAAATATATACTCTTATCCCAAGCCAATATACAGGACTAAAAAAATTTTAAAATTAAAAGAAAATGGTTAAATTTGAAACTTCCTGTTATTTAAAATATATAATACATAAATTAATATCTCAAACTGAGACAATATAAATAATAAATACATTATAAAAAAAAATATCAGCAACAACAATTACATTTACTCACTTTCATTTATTAGATATTAAATTACATCCCTTAGCGTCTTCCATAGTTTATCTTGACTTTCATTGAGCATGAAATATATTTATTGTTATGGGGTCCACCCTTTTCGGATATAATGGACTCGTCCTGCTGCCATAAAATAGCCACAGTCAGGCAGAGAAGATGAGTCGTACAAGAGTCGTCTGTGAGTGTCGGTAGTCGGATAGAGTGAAGTAACCTCTTGTAGAAGTCAGTTACGCCTAACCAACAACAACTTGGCCACAAAGATTCAAACCCAAGCGGAAAAGAAAAAGCATCAACAGAAAAGTCCTTCCCTCGTCGTCCAACAACAAATTAGCGACAAACAATTTCGAGGAGTAAAAATACAGAAAATTGAGTTATCATGGAGGATTTTAAAAATATGTTGGTAGAACTAATAAAGCACCAAAATGAGCAACAGTTACAGCTACAAGAAATATGGCAAAAGCAATTATTACAAACGCAAAAGGAAAATCAAGATAGACAAACAGAGCTCCAGGAACTAATATTGAAAGTAGCAGGCAACAAGAAGTTAGATATTGAAAAAGAAGCAACATTTTCGCAAGACGCAGTGTGGAATACCATAGAGATTTTCAAATATTCTCTTGATGAGGACAAAAATTTTGGCGATTACTTCAGAAGACATGAAGACATCTTTAATATAGACTGTCAAAATTGGACAGAAGCTAAAAAGCTACGTCTATTGCTTAGAAAATTGGGAACTGAAGAATATACAAAGTTCGTGGATTATATCTTGCCAAAAAAGACGAACGAATTAAAATTTGACGAAGCAGTGACATGTCTTAAAGAACTCTTCAGCCCCAAAACATCACTCTTCCATAGGAGGTGGAAATGCCTTAATCTGGTAAAGGGCGATAATGAGGATTATTCCACGTTTGCCGCAATAGTAAATAAACATTGTGACGACTTCAAACTAGCGGAATTAACCCCGGATATTTTTAAATGTTTCATCTTTGTTCAAGGGCTAGTTTCTACAAAAGACAGCGAAATGCATAGAAGAATGCTGGCAAAATTACAAAATGAACCGGGTCTAACATTACAACAATTATCGGAAGATTGCCAGTGATGTTTAAGCATTAAGAAAGACGCAAAGGACATTGAAGAATCGGCTGTTTCTCATATACGTAAGTTAAACAAAAGTCTACGTTCTTCACCCTCCCCGGAAAGAAAACTAAAATTTTACGACAATGAAAAAAGATTCTCACCCTCCCCGGAAAGAAAAATAAAATATTATAAGAGAAAAACTACGACATACAGGACAAATTATGACGAATATCGAAACAAATATAAGCCCCCTCCAGCAGCATGTTATCGATGTGGAGGATTACATTGGAACAAGGATTGCCGCTTCAGATATAAAAACTGTCATGAATGTGGAAAAAAAGGCCATTGCTGATTTTAACGGCATACTTGGGTCAATTTTTCGTCCAAATCCGTGAATCTGTTTTGCTAATGCTATTTAATAAAGCTCATAAATATATTTCAAGCTCACTGAAAGTTAAAACAAACTATAGAGGATGCTAAGGGATGTCATTTTATATCTAATAAACAGATGTGAGTAAATGTTATTGTTGTTGTTGATTTTTTTGTAATGTATTTATTATTTATATTGTTTCAGTTTGAGATATTAATTTTTGTATTATACAAGGTGTCCATAAAGTTCGTGTGCATTTTAAAAAATTTATAACTTTATTTGTATTTGCGATAGAAATAATTTGTAAAAAGGATAAGAAAGAAGTAAATCTATATTTTTAAGGTTTTATTGAAATTTTATTTAAGTTTCCATATGTCCTCCATCATTAGCAATACAAAAAGTAATACGCTGGAAAAAAAGAAAATATTTTTTTTACTTATCTAAAAATTGTTGCAAATTTTGTGGTAAAGAATTATTCAATAACTATATTTAAAACTAGGTATATTAAAATTTATAACATTTTTTACAGATCATTTCTATCGCAAATAAGCGTTTTTACAGATTATTTTCTATCGCAAGTAAGCGTTTTCTTTTTTACCATCCCTCTTCTGGCTGCTGTTTGATCTGAGTTTTCATTTGCACGGAACTTTCTTTTCTTCGCTGCAGTCTTGGTTATTT